AATCTATATGAATTGCTTGAATTGACTTAGCCCATTTTAAAGTTACCCTCCTTTCACACAATGCAACAGGAAACAACACTCTCCAATTATTTTTACCTCTGCCTTCCTCCCTCCCCGTTGGATGGAGTAAGGGGGGAGTCAGGTTTAGCCTAAACCGGCTCAGTTATGGTTGAGGTGCAAACACACCCTCTATTTCTGCTACCTCTGCGACCCCTTCTCAATGGTTATAAATCAGTCTGACAGTGAGAGGTACCCCCATTCTTGTGGTTGTTGGTATAACAATGGACACCAGTGGGCTCTACATGGACAAACCTTATCAGTTTATTATTTTACTTAGTACCCGTACACATAGGCCATCCTAAAAATGGCTGAACTCTTAACACTCAGTAGTTTAATCTCACCTCCCTAACAACCTCCCCACCATTCCAAACCTTTTGTGAAGTGCCTTGAGACGACATGTGTTGTTAATTGGCGCTATATAAATAAAACTAAATTGAATTAAGAACATCAACTTTTAAACTAAACTGGGCTGAAGAAGAGATACACCTAAAACACACACATGGAGGCCAGTCAGAACCTTAAAAGATTGGCTTGGATTATCTGGAGTGGGTTTAAGTCGAGTACTGCATGGTGACACCATTGTTAGTGGTGTTGCCTTGCAGCAAGAAATCCCAGCCTGGGGCTTTCTGCATGGAGTTTGAATGTTCTTCCAAAGCAATCCTGGGCTCTCTCTGGGTACAAATACAGTACAAATACAAGATTGTAAAGTTGATTGTTGTCCCTCAATTGCTTTTGTGTAAGTGTCTGTGTGTCCATGGTTTTTTGTCCTGTGTGTCTCTGTGTATCCTGTCCAGAGGGTCTATATCAAAAATCACCATTGTTTCCAATAATAGTAATGAGAAGAGTCCTTTGAATGACAGCTTTGCAGTCTAATCCTGCCTAACATCATACATACCAAAATTAATTCTTAAAGAAACCAAGCTATGAGCTATAAAATGTTGAAACCAAGTACAGTTTCCTGTATTTTAATACCCTTGGATGAAAGTCTTTGCAGGATGAGCACTCTTCCACTTCCCACCAATCATTAAAAATTCTATTAGCAGGTGAACCTACATGAAATCTATGTAAATACAGGAAAAGGTTAAGCTGAATAAATAAGCAAAGTTCTTAAAATAAATTGCTGTTTTTTTCAGTAAGACCAACACTATGAAATTACACCATGAAAGATGTACTTGGTGTTATTACAAGGAGTTATTTTGTATGCTTCAGTTGGAAACATGATTGATGTAATTTTGCACTGTGGCGGCAGTAAGTGTGAAGAAGAGGCCAATCAGATTGTTTCAACATTATTCCCTCCCACTTTTCAATATTATATTAGACTGAAACATCCATGTTGTGCTCCTCTAACAATAAAATAAAGAAATCAAGCTCACCTTCAGAACCAATCTGTTCCAAATTGAAAGCAACTTGCAAATAATGTCCCCTGTAGGGCGAGACCCAGTCACAGCTCTCACCATAAACTAGTCTAGAGGCTACTAGCAGTAATAAACATGAAACAAACAGTAGCATACACAAGAATTACACATGCACTGTGTATGACAAGAAAAAAAAGGGGCTACGCATCTGGTGTCATGTGACTAAACAGACTCACCTGAGTCGGTGGTAGGTCATGGGTGACTTTATTGTCATTAATACTCGACCTGAACATGCCTCAGAATGATCACTCAGCGCTTCACGTACCGCCTCTGGTGGTCAGTAGGGATGCAATAGAATGTATATTACATATGTAGTAATGCCAAGAATGTAATACCTACCAGTGACAGGATCATTTTGGCCATTTCAAAAGCAATAAAGCCAGTAACATAATAACTTGCTAGTATCTAGCCCAGTTGCAAATAAAATACTTTACAATTTTAATCAAAAACTGTTGTGGTAGATGGCAGCACATTACACAAAGTGGTCCAACTACAAATGTGCTGCACATCAATTTAATAAATAACCTCCTTCATACAATACATTATGAATATATACAGGGGTTGGACAATGAAACTAAAACACCTGTCATTTTAGTGTGGGAGGTTTCATGGCTAAATTGGACCAGCCTGGTAGCCAGTCTTCATTGATTGCACATTGCACCAGTAAGAGCAGAGTGTGAGGTGCAATTAGCAGGGTAAGAGCACAGTTTTGCTCAAAATATTGAAATTGCACACAACATTATGGGTGACATACCAGAGTTCAAAAGAGGACAAATTGTTGGTGCACGTCTTGCTGGTGCATCTGTGACCAAGACAGTAAGTCTTTGTGATGTATCAAGAGCCACGGTATCCAGGGGAAATGTCAGCAAACCACCAAGAAAGACGAACCACATCCAACAGGATTAACTGTGGACGCAAGAGGAAGCTGTCTGAAAGGGATGTTCGGGTGTTAACCCGGATTGTATCCAAAAAACATAAAACCACGGCTGCCCAAATCACGGCAGAATTAAATGTGCACCTCGACTCTCCTGTTTCCACCAGAACTGTCCGTCGGGAGCTCCACAGAGTCAATATACACGGCCGGGCTGCTATAGCCAAACCTTTGGTCACTCATGCCAATGCCAAACGTTGGTTTCAATGGTGCAAGGAGCGCAAATCTTGGGCTGTGGACAATGTGAAACATGTATTGTTCTCTGATGAGTCCACCTTTACTGTTTTCCCCACATCCAGGAGAGTTACGGTGTGGAGAAGCCCAAAGAAGCGTACCACCCAGACTGTTGCATGCCCAGAGTGAAGCATGGGGGTGGATCAGTGATGGTTTGGGCTGCCATATCATGGCATTCCCTTGGCCCAATACTTGTGCTAGATGGGCGCGTCACTGCCAAGGACTACCGTACCATTCTTGAGGACCATGTGCATCCAGTGGTTCAAACATTGTATCCTGAAGGCGGTGCCATGTATCAGGATGACAATGCACCAATACACACAGTAAGACTGGTGAATGATTGGTTTGATGAACATGAAAGTGAAGTTGAACATCTCCCATGGCCTGCACAGTCACCAGATCTAAATATTATTGAGCCACTTCGGGGTGTTTTGAAGGAGCGAGTCAGGAAACGTTTTCCTCCACCAGTATCACGTAGTGACCCGGCCACTATCCTGCAAGAAGAATGACTTAAAACCCCTCTGACCACTGTGCAGGACTTGTTTATGTCATTCCCAAGACGAATTGACGCTGTATTGGCCGCAAAAGGAGGCCCTACACCATACTAATAAATTATTGTGGTCTAAAACCAGGTGTTTCAGTTTCATTGTCCAACCCCTGTATATTTATATATATATCCTAACAAAAAGTCTTCTACTTTTGGATTTTGTGCAATAAATAATTTTCAAATTGGCTTTTACCATAAATAAAGAGAGGAGATTGAATATCCTTAATTAATGAATTTGCCAACTATGCATTCCAATATGCCTGTTTTTGATTAGCAATTTACTGAAATTTCACTTACAGGACATGCAGTCTATTTGTGTAATACTACACCAATGTCTGGAGTACATAAAAAGGTAAGTATTTTCACCAATTTACCAATAGAGAGAGAATACAGGTGATGGTGTTGAGAGTTCTCTGACTGTTTTGAGCATGCACAAAACTTAAGTGGTAAGATTGCAATGGCTATTTATCATTTTGGCTGCATATTTGAGTCATGTATTCAGGAGCAGCAGTAGTAGCTTATTCATGAAGTGTGATGTTCACCTTCATGGTTTCCTCCCCTTCTGGGTAAAAAAAACTCTATACTCAGACCCCCCACTCACATACAGAGGGTATAGCTTCCTTGCTTTCACAACTAAGTTATTAATAAAGGCTGTTTGCCGTGGGGCTACAGGAAGTGGTAAGTTCTTCAGGTTGCAGGTCAAATGCAAAATATGTCAAACAAAAATCGGTGTCAAAGAGAAGCTTTGGCAGGGTATTTGACAATAAATATAATATGAAAAAAGGGAGAGCAGTTGCACATGGGTTTTGTAAAATTACGTGTATTTACAATAAGTTGAAGCCCGACATGTAAAGTGCAGCTTTAGGCTTCAGAGCCTCTATGAATGCTGGCATAGAAAGAAAAGAATGTTCTATAGAAAGAAAAGAATGTTAGGGTGTAGTATGCATGATTCTGTCTAACCACACTTTCCAACATATGTGCACAGCGTTGCACTGAAAATGACTACAGCCCAGTGGCCAGTTTCTACCTGGCCAATACCCCCATCCCTGCACATCGGCTACTGCGACCACAAGCATACACAAGACAGAAAGATTATCTTGACAAAAAGAAGGCGAAGAAATGCAGTAAATGGCACGGGGCCTGGAGTCAAACTTGGGACAGCTGCGTCAAAGACTGCAGCCTACATATATGGTGCGTAGTAGTTGGGGCCTTTTCTCTGCCCTTCTTTCTCTCAAGAAACCTAGAGCAGTGACACGGACCTTGATAAAGTGCAAAGCAGGACCCACATAAAGTTTTTTTGTTATCCATTTCTGCAAGTCTGAAAGCACAAATACAAAAATAAGACAGAAAAAATTGGTGCAAGATTATTTGCACCATCAGCCATTTCAAGTGCTTTTATAAGGATATTTATCATAAAGAATTCATTTGGAAGATGCAGATGATGAATCTTAAAGGCACTGCTGGGACTTGAACCCAGGATCTCCTGTTTACAAGACAGGCACTCTGACCACCTAAGCCACAGCGCCTAAAGCCTACAGTTCTGGAATTTCACCAAACCGTCAGGAGACATCTAAAATGAATCGAGGCCTATAGACATTCAATATTAACAGCACCAATGGCAATAAGTCTTCTAACATTCATGAGGTATTACTGGTTGTTGGACCTAGGATCTTCTATTTACAAGGGAGATGATCTGAGCTCCTAATGCACAGGTCCTTGTATGCCTACCATCTTTTTGTAGCAACCTGGCTTGGCATGTTATTTTTAACAACAAAAGCAGAGAAACATTGATTGCCCAAACAGTGCAAGGTAAAGGCACTGCTGGGATACAAACCCAGGACCTCCTGTTTACTAGACAGGCACATTGACCAACTAAGCCACAGCACCTCTTTTCAGCATAATGGGTTGTTATTCACAAACTCAGGACTTAGGAAAACAGGATCACTTCCTAAAGGTATAACAGCACCAGTGGTAATAACTCTTCTAACAGCCATGAGAAACTACTGGTTGTTGTAAGGCAAAGGCACTGCTGTGATTTTAGCCCAGGATCTCCTGTTTACTAGACAGGAGCTTTGACCAACTAGTGTAATTAAACTGATGTAAACTCCGTTCCATTTGCATTTAAAGATGATTTTTTTTTGGGTTGAAATATTAATCTGTAAAAAAAAAACAACTTCCCTATGGGCTGTTTAAGGCTTTCGTTCAGAAAGCTCTTCCGTACCTTAGGATTGCAGGGACTTGATAGCATACTGAACTGACCAGTGCAAATGATGTTTCTCCCACCGATCCGCAGGACCAACTGATCACGGAGTGTCACAGATGACACGATATTGCTGAATTGGAGTTCTGACCATGCACTGATGCGTCTCCGAGTTTGTCAGCTAGAAAAAGGATCCTTACTTTCAGAGGTCAATATCATGTCCGCAATACCACCAATTTAGTTGCTGGCACTTGTCGCACTCTGATTTAGGAGTTTGCAGAGCTTCATATAACTATAAAGCCACAGGACAACAACCACAAGGTATTGATGGACGTTGAACCCAGGATCTCCAATTTAAGAGCCAGGAGCTTTAAACTCCTAAGATACAGAATAGCTGTAGGTCACATCTTGCTATTAAATAACTGCCTCGTCATATTATTTCCAAGAAACCTAGAGCAGTGTCACGGGCCTTGATAAAGTTTTTTGTTATCTAGTTCTGATATTGTGAAGAGCACAGATACAAAAATAAGACATAAAAATTTGGTGGAATATTATTTGCTCCATCAGCTGTTTTCAAGTGCTTTTATAAGGATATTTATCATAAAGAATACATTTGGAAGATGCAGATGATGAATCCCAAAGGCACTGCTGGGATTTGAACCCAGGATTTCCTGTTTACAATACAGGCACTTTGACCACCTAAGCCACAGCGCCTCCAGCCTACAGTTCTGGCAGTTCACCAAACCGTCAGGAGACATCTAAAATGAATCGAGGCATACAGACATTCAATATTAACAGCAGCAGTGGCAATAAGTCTTCTAACATTCATGAGGTATTACTGGTTGTTGGACCTAGGATCTTCTATTTACAAGGGAGATGCTCTGAGCTCCTAATGCACAGGTCCTTGTATGCCTACCATCTTTTTGTAGCAACCTGGCTTGGCATGTTATTTTTAACAACAAAAGCGAAGCAACATTGTACTTAACATTGAGTGCCCAAACAGTGCAAGGTAAAGGCACTGCTGGGATTTGAACCCAGGATCTCCTGTTTACTAGACAGGCACTTTGACCAACTAAGCCACAGCGCCTCTTTTAAGTGTAATGGGTTGTTTTTCACAAACTCAGGACTCAGGAAAACAGGAGCACTCCCTAAAGGTATAACAGCACCAGTGGTAATAACTCTTCTAACAGCCATGAGAAACCACTGGTTGTTGTAAGGCAAAGGCACTGCTGGGATTTTAGCCCAGGGTCTCCTGTTTACTAGACAGGAGCTTTGACCAACTAGTGTAATTAAACTGATGTAAACTCTTTTCCATTTGCATTTAAAGTTGATTTTTTTTGGGGTTGAAATAAGAATCTGTAAAAAAAAACAACTTCCCTATGGGCTGTTTAAGGCTTTCGTTCAGAAAGCTCTTCCGTACTTCAGGATTGCAGGGACTTGATAGCATACTGGACTGACCAGTGCAAATGACGTTTCTCCCACCGACACGCAGGACCAACTGATCACGGAGTCTCACGGATGACACGATATTGCTGAATTGGATTTTTGATCATGCACTGATGCGTCTCCGAGTTTGTCAGCTAGAAAAAGGATCCTTACTTTCAGAGGTCAATATCATGTCCGCAAGACCACCAATTTAGTTGCCGGCAATTGTCGCACTGTGATTTAGGGGTTTGCAGATCTCAATCTATCCTGAAAACTATGGTGAGGTATTCATACAGATGCTTGGAAAAAAATTCTGAAGTCATGATCATCAAACAATAGCACATTTAAATGTGAAAAGTCTCATAGAAGATAAACGAAATGGAATGAGCATTTCAACACAGACTTTTAAAACCCAGAATCACATCTTTAAATATAATGTCACCATAATCTTACTGTGTATTTCATGTTTTAGCTTGTTGTAAAAGTAATGATTCAACATTGTGAATATGCCACCTCGGATGAAAAGAATACTCTTGTCTCTTCATGGTCTTAGTCTGAAGCTGTGGAGCAATCAAACTCATTCTGTTACAAAACACAATATATCAGAGGTGATTCTGTGCATGGCCTGAAAGGTGAATAATGTTACATCTTGGTGGTCCCTGTGTTCTGCAGAAAAAGGTACTTTGTCAAAACCTAGATAGTACTGAGAACATTTAAATCTATGACACATTTGCAGAGATAACGCCAGCCATAGACCAGTAGCAATGAGGCAGTGCTAGGATTTACAAGCAAGATGTTCTTTTCAGTATAAAAACTAAGAACACAGCATGTCCAGTTCAGTCATGTGGTAGATTTCTTAAATTAAGACATAGACCTTTTGCACAAAGAGTAACCCAGTGTCAACACTTGAACAGTAATGAAAACACTTACCTGATTTTCATATAACTATAAAGCCACAGGACAACAACCACAAGGTATTGATGGACGTTGAACCCAGGATCTCCAATTTAAGAGCCAGGAGCTTTAAACTCCTAAGATACAGAGTAGCTGTAGGTCAAATCTTGCTTTTAAATAACTGCCTCGTCATATTATTTCCAAGAAACCTATAGCAGTGACACGGGCCTTGATAAAGTGCAAAGCAGGACCCACATAAAGTTTTTTTGTTATCTAGTTCTGCAATTGTGAAGAGCACAAATACAAAAATAAGACAGAAAAAATTGGTGGAAGATTATTTGCACCATCAGCTATTTCAAGTGCTTTTATAAAGATATTTATCATAAAGAACTCATTTGGAAGATGCAGATGAGGAATCTCAAAGGCACCGCTGGGATTTGAACCCAGGATCTCCTGTTTACAAGACAGGCACTTTGACCACCTAAGCCACAGCGCCTCCAGCCTACAATTCTGGCAGTTCTCCAAACCGTCAGGAAACTTCTAAAATGAATCGAGACACACAGATATTCAATATTGACAGCACCAGTGGCAATAAGTCTTCTAACATTCATGAGGTATTACTGGTTGTTGGACCTAGGATCTTCTATTTACAAGGGAGATGCTCTGAGCTCCTAATGCACAGGTCCTTGTATGCCTACCATCTTTTTGTAGCAACCTGGCTTGGCATGTTATTTTTAACAACAAAAGCAAAGCAACATTGTACTTAACATTGATTGCCCAAACAGTGCAAGGTAAAGGCACTGCTGGGATTTGAACCCAGGATCTCCTGTTTACAAGGCAGGCACTTTGACCGACTAAGCCACAGCGCCTCTTTGCCGCATAATGGGTTGTTATTCACAAACTCAGGACTCAGGAAAACAGGATCACTTCCTAAAGGTATAACAGCACCAGTGGTAATAACTCTTCTAACAGCCATGAGAAACTACTGGTTGTTGTAAGGCAAAGGCACTGCTGTGATTTTAGCCCAGGATCTCCTGTTTACTGGACAGGAGCTTAGACCAACTAGTGAAATTAAATTGATGTAAACTCTTTTCCATTTGCATTTAAAGTTGATTTTTTTTTTTGGGTTGAAATAAGAATCTGTAAAAAAAAAAAAACTTCCCTATGGGCTGTTTAAGGCTTTCGTTCAGAAAGCTCTTCCGTACTTCAGGATTGCAGGGACTTGATAGCATACTGAACTGACCAGTGCAAATGACGTTTCTCCCATCCGCAGGACCAAATGATCACGGAGTGTCACAGATGACACGATATTGCTGAATTGGAGTTCTGACCATGCACTGATGCGTCTCCCAGTTTGTCACCTAGAAAAAGGATCCTTACTTTCAGAGGTCAATATCATGTCCGCAAGACCACCAATTTAGTTGCTGGCACTTGTCGCACTGTGATTTAGGGATTTGCAGATCTCAATCTATCCTGAAAACTATGGTGAGGTATTCATACAGATGCTGGGAAAAAAATCCTGAAGTCTTTGATCATCAAACAATAGCACATTTAAATGTGAAAAGTCTTATAGAAGATAAACGAAATGGAATGAGCATTTCAACAGAGACTTTTAAAACCCAGAATCACATCTTTAAATATAATGTCACCATAATCTTACTGTGTATTTCATGTTTTAGCTTGTTCTAAAAGTAATGATTCAACATTGTGAATATGCCACCTCGGATGAAAAGAATACTCTTGTCTCTTCATGGTCTTAGTCTGAAGCTGTGGAGCAATCAAACTCATTCTGTTACAAAAACAAATAAAATCAGAGGTGATTCTCTGCATGGCCTGAAAGGTGAATAATGTTACATCTTGGTGGTCCCTGTGTTCTGCAGAAAAAGGTACTTTGTCAAAACCTAGATAGTACTGAAAACATTTAAATCTATGACACATTTGCAGAGATAACGCCAGCCATAGACCAGTAGCAATGAGGCAGTGCTAGGATTTACAAGCAAGATGTTCTTTTCAGTATAAAAAAATAAGAACACAGCATGTCCAGTTCAGTCATGTGGTAGATTTCTTAAATTAAGACATAGACCTTTTGCACAAAGAGTAACCCAGTGTCAACACTTGAACAGTAATGAAAACACTTACCTGATTTTCATATAACTATAAGCCACAGGACAACAACCACAAGGTATTGATGGACGTTGAACCCAGGATCTCCAATTTAAGAGCCAGGAGCTTTAAACTCCTAAGATACAGAGTAGCTGTAGGTCAAATCTTGCTTTTAAATAACTGCCTTCGTCATATTATTTCCAAGAAACCTAGAGCAGTGACACGGGCCTTGATAAAGTGCAAAGCAGGACCCACATAAAGTTTTTTTGTTATCTAGTTCTGCAATTGTGAAGAGCACAAATACAAAAATAAGACAAAAAAATTGGTGGAAGATTATTTGCACCATGAGCTATTTCAAGTGCTTTTATAAGGATATTTATCATAACGAATTCATTTGGAAGATGCAGATGATGAATCCCAAAGGCACTGCTGGGACTTGAGCCCAGGATCCGCTGTTTACAAGACAGGCACTTTGACCTCCTAAGCTACAGCGCCTCCGGCCTACAGCTCCGGCAGTTCACCATACCGTCAGGAGACATCTAAAATGAATTTAGGTTTACAGACATTCAATATTAACAGCACCAGTGGCAATAGGTCTTCTAACATTCATTAGGTATTACTGGTTGTTGGACCTAGGATCTTCTATGTACAAGGGAGATGCTCTGAGCTTCTAATGCACAGGTCCTTGTATGCCTACCATCTTTTTGTAGCAACCTGGCTTGGCTTGTTATTTTAACAACAAAAGCAAAGCAACATTGTACTTAACATTGATTGCCCAAAACAGTGCAAGGTAAAGGCCCTGCAGGGATTTGATCCCAGGATCTCCTGTTTATTAGACAGGCACTTTGGCCACCTAAGCCACAGCACCTCTTTCAGCATAATGGGTTGTTTTTCACAAGGTCAGGCACTAAAGACTTCCTGCTTGAGCGCTAGATGAGCTGTCAGAAGATCTCTCCCCTTTCCACCAGCGTGCATCCTTTCAAAACTGACAGTGGGGTATTCCAACTAGGAACACTCGGCTGGGACCCTCCCACGTTGGAGGATGTCACTCAGAAATGAATTGGGGTGTGGCAGTATGTTTATTTGTGCATAATATTCAATGAAAGTATTCATGCTGTCACAGTACCTTTCTACAAATCAATGCCCTGAAAAAGGAAACAATTGGGGTTTCTGAACAATGTCCTCTTTTTGTCTCCTTACTTCTTGCTTTCAGCAAGAGACGGCAAAACTGACTCTTATGTGCTAAAATTACCAACCCTTGGTTGACTCAACAAGTTTAAAACCAGCTTTTTAGAACAACTTAATCATGACCTTAAATGTTGGGATATTTTCTTACAACGCTTCATTAAAATTCAATTAAAATAACAATTTGAGCTTAACTCGTTGAATAATAGCATTGCTCTATAATTAATTTAATGAAATTTGCCTTATATATATATATATGAAAAATGCCTTCATTCTTTTTTAATTAGTATAAGTTCTTTGTTGCTCATCCTAATATTTGTTGTTTTCTTAGTTTTTTATATACACTTTTAATCAGTTAATTTATGCAAGTATATATTGTTTCAATTTAAAAAATTACAATTTGATTTGATTTATAGCTCATGGTGATTTTACCTTCAGGCCGGCACTACTTTACCTTCAGGTGGCGCTACACAGGGTTGTCTGCTAAAACCAGCCACCACAGAGACAGTTTCTCTGATGAGCACTTGACAGTCAGAGTTCAAGAACAACACCATGCATACTTGGACTGATCTCATATATACCATTGTAAAGTGAATTGTGTATATATGCACATTTAAAAAAGATATTCTTTGTTATTGGGAGCAAAGTGTACCAGTCAAATTCCTCGCTTGTCTGTACAAACTTTGCAATAAAGCTGATTCTGATTCTTATTTTTCCTCATATACGTTGGAAGACATGTTCCTGTCTTGATTGAATATAAATCATTGCACTGAGAAAAGTTGCAATAATTAGTGGTGGGATGCAATCTAAATAATCAGAGGATTTGTAGTTAATTGCCCAATCCCATTTTTATCAATCATCAATATTTGACACAATGCTCAAATGTTTTTGATTCCCATAAAATGTGGTTAGTGATTTAATAAATCGATACACATATTCAGTTTGTATAACGATGTTGTGCAGAAATTAATACCCCGATTTACTGTAAACTGGAATGTTGTGGCTTTGCTTTCATGCAGTGGTTCATCCAAGAATAAAGATCAATTTGCAGTTACATTCAAAATGTCACAGTATTATCAAACCAGCTGTTTTAGTCCTAATCTAAATCACACATCTATGATGCAGAAAAAGTTCAATATCACTATATTTTACAGAACATTGTTTCTGTCATGTTGTTTTAGAAAGGCAATACCAGAACTGACACCTTTGGTGTTTTCCTTTCCCTGATTAGAATGTCTCATGGCACCACATATATTTAGTGGTTTTAAATGTTGGGGCTCTGTAGGCATATTCATCTGTGAAGTTTAGGCTAAAAAAATGTGTTCAGCTTTTTTACACTCCTGTTACCCTGTGCTGTTTAATCATATAACACATCGGATGCAATACCCTACCCATGTGACCTACCTTGTGTTCCTCTTCCTGAGTTCTTTGAAGAGGATGTCCAGGTGGACCCACCTCTTGTTCCTGTTCCTGAGTGTATGTGTGAGTATGATTGATAGATGGAACTTGCTTAATGCTCAATACTGAACTTGGTTCAGTGTTTAGCATGAAGCGAGTTACAACCGGAGGGCAAAAAGTGCTTTTTCTGTCATTTTTTTGTCCTTTGAGTTAGGTGGAGCCAGGGTCCCACCCTTGAGCCAGGCCTGGGGTCCGGACTCGTTGTCGAGCATCTTGTGGCTGGGTTACTCCTCGCGGGACCTGGCCGGGTTAAGCCCGAACAAGAGACGCATGGCCATCCCCCAGCGGGCCCACCACTTCCAGGGCGAAGCATGAGGGACTGGTGCAAAGAGGATCGGGGAGCTAACAAAGGTGGAGATGCGTAAACTGGCTCTAGGGACATGGAATGTCACCTCGCTGGGGTGGGAGGAGCCTGAGCTTGTGCAGGAGGTCGAGAGACACTGGCTAGAAATAGTTGGACTTACCTCAACACATAGTGTGGGAGAAAGGAACCCAGCTCCTTGAAAGAGGCTGGACTCTTTTTCCACTGTGGAGTGGCCAGTGGGGAGAGGTGACGGACTGGGGTGGGTTTGCTTGTCGCCCCCCAGCTCAGCCGTCTCGTGTTGGGATTTACGCCAGTGGATCCCTGCGTCTTTGGGTTGGGTTGGGCAGTAGTCTCTGATCGAGCAGTGTTCCAAACATGTTTAAGCATAAGGGTGTTCATTGGTGCACTTGACACCAGGACATCCTAGACAGGAGGTAGATGATCGACTTTGTAGTCCTTTCTTCGGACCTTCAGCTGCATGACTTGGACACTCTCGTGAGCTGTCCATCAATCACCACCTGGGGGTGAGTTGGATCTGCTGGAAGAGGCAGGCCCAAGTGCACAGTGAGGGTCTGCTGGGAACGTCTGGTGGAGCCCTCAGCCAGGGATGCATTCAACTCCCACCGCCAGGAAAGCTTTGACCAGTTCCTGCCCTCACTTATGGGTATGAACTTTGAGTCATGACCAAAACAACGAGATCCTGGATACAAGCGGCTGAAATGAGCTTCCTCTGTAGCTTTTGATTTAATGGTTGGTCTATGTTCCTACCCTCACCTATGGCCATGAACTTTGGGTCATGACCGAAAGAACGAGATCCGGGATACAAGCAGCTGAAATGAGCTTCCTCCGTAGAGCTGGTGCTCCTCCACATCTAGAGGAGCCAGTTGAGGTGGCTCGGGCATCTATACCGGATGCCTCCTGGATGCCTTCCTCGGGAGGTGTTCCAGGCACGTCCCACCGGGAGGAGGCCCAGGGGACGGCCCAGGACACGCTGGAGGGACTATGTCTCTTGACTGGTCTGGGAATGCCTTGGGCTCCCCCCAGAGGAGCTGGAGGAGGTGTCTAGGGAGTGGGACGTTTGGGTGTCTCTGCTGAGTCTGCTGCCCCCGCGACCTGGTCCCGGATAAAGCGGAAGACGACGAAGACGAAGTATTAAACAAAAACACAGAAATGAAAGCAGAAAATGTGTTTTCTAGATAGATAACCTTTAATGTTATTTTTCAGTTTGGGAGAAAATACAGTTTACGTTTTCCTGTTTCAATTGTATTGAAGTCCTGATATATTGCTTTATGAGGATGAACTGAAGACCTTGTGGTTTTTCTGCGACTTTGTTCACTGAACAGCAAACTCTTTAAACTGAAATAGAACAAGTACAATTTTAGCATGGATAAAAACTGAGCAAAATTCAGCTGAATCAGACTAACTGACAATCAGACAAACCATAGAAGTCTGGTCTTCAGCTGTCAAAGACTATTGGAAAAAATACACAGAAGCAGACAAGTGCTATGATAAAATGTGTTAACATTTTATTCAAGGAATTAACTGCAAACTTAGACAATAAAGAAAACATTAAATTAAATTTTATAGTAAGAACGGCAACGGAAGACAGAAACAACAGCAAAATCAGGGCTGGCCTGAGGTTGTATTTGGCCTTAGGCAGAATTGGATTTGGGGCCCCCTTCCTGTTAAGGACATTACCTCCACTAACAGTGTTTCAATACAGATTTGGTGGAATCTGGGAGAGGGGGCCAAGTTTAATTATATGACTTTAAAAGCAATCACAGATAATCGGTAATTATTTGCTGAACTGTATTTGTGATTGGATAGAGTGCAAACACAAGGAAAAGACTGAACTCATAGCATCAGATTGTAACTATGGTAACACAATAGTCAAACAATGAAGATTAGTCTTTGTACTTAAACTTAAATTTCAATTTAAACTATTTAAATCATTTGATTTATTTATGCTGAAACTATAATAGTATTCTCATAAACAAATATAACAAATTTCATCTACAGAAAATTTAAAATGTTGGTTCTTTCTTTAAAACAGAGTGATATGCACAATTGTTTCAAAATCCTGATAATAATAATTTGAAGCTGATGTGCTAAAAGATTGTCCTTTTCTTGAAACGATACTAAATATAATTTCAAAAGATGCTCAACGTTCCCCATTTTAACACAAGGAAGACGGCACTTTTTTATAAGAGTTGTCATAAAATTTAAACTTTCTCCCTGTAACGTTTTGACTTTATTCTCGTAATTTTAAAAAAAGGCTCTAATACTCTGTCATACAATAATATCTCGGTGATTAAGTGAAATAGGTGAGGTGTTTGGGTTTTAATTTTCTTTTGTGTTTGTGTTCTGATCATTTGCTTGTGTTATGTTATTTAATTTATTTCTATGTGTTCATTATTGTTATTACGTGTCTCCATATTAGTTCATTCTTTGTATTTAGCTTCTTAGTTTATTCTTATGTACCTTTAGTTATTTTTTTTTGTTAGGCCTCTGAATGTTCTCCGCTCCGTTAGCTGATGTGTTCCTCATCTTTCTGTTTGACTGCTATACCCGGTCCATTCCCTGTACTTCTTGCTAGATCTACTTGTGCAAGACCATTGTGTAAGTTTTCTTCCTTATTTTATCATATAGTTACTTAGCCTGACTTCTATTCATCTCCACAGTTGAGTCCTTTAATTATCCACTGTTTTGAGGCATTATCATACCCTAAATCAAGACCCTTACTACATTTTGATCCAGCTCCTTCTTTTTTATGACAGACTGGAGCACTATAGATGAAATCCTTATCTGTGCATCCATCATCCACCAGGTTAAAAAGGGGAAGATACATGTTGAACAGATTATTTTCCTCAATACATACATTTCTAATGGGGCTATTGACATGAAATTGACACCACAGGTAA